ATCATGACACTGTAGTTTCCATTTACTTTCAGTTGTTTCAGGTTAGAGGTAAACCTAATCCCTGTTACTCCATCTTGACAAGGAGCCCAAGTCCCAGTAAAAGGTGGCTCAGTATACTGTACTAATCTCTCCACATTTTTACATACTTGAAATTTTCTAAAATATAATGCCTGGTAGTACAGAAGGTTTTTGAAGGAGTATAGTGGTGTATAAAGGGAATTTTATTTGGTTGTATTATCTATAGGATATAAAATTCTCTCCTTTGACCACCCCCAAGAATTCTTCAGTAAAGACTATTAATATGACTAAATAATCATAACTAATTTTTGTTACAACATGCAAAAAGTTAGAATTATGTCATAAACACCTGTGCTGATACTACCCCCCTCAGATAATTACCATTTTGTTGTGTGAATTTGATGCTTATCACTCCCATGCATCATTTTTTTTTTAATATATCTTTATTGATTTCAGAGAGAGGAAAGGAGAGGGAGAGATATAGAAGCATCAATGATGACAGAGTCATTGATCGGCTGCAGCCAGCAACCCAGGCATGTGCCCTGACCGGGAATCGAACCCCGATCGCCTGGATCCTAGGTCGACGCTCAACCACTGAGCCACGCCCGGCCGGGCACATGCATCATTTCATTCCTCTCAGTCTGTCTCTGTTTCTGTCTCTGTCTCTCTCTATATATATACTATATATGTAAACACATAATATATAAACATTTTAGTTATTTTAGAATTTTATATATGATATAAATTCATTATTCTGTAACTTACTTTTTTTTAAATCCTACCTGAAGATATTTTTTCTGTTGATTTTTATAGAGAGTGTAAGAAGCGGGGAGAGAGAGAGAAACATCGATGTGAGAGACACAAGGATTGGCTGCCTCCTACACATGCCCTGACAGGGGCGGGGGAACGAACCTGCAACCCAGGTACATGTTCTTGAGCTGGAATCAAACCTGAGACCCTTCGGTGCCCAGGCTGATGCTCTACCACTGAGCCACACTGCCCAGAGCTGTAACTTGCATTTTTGTTCAATATTTTATTTTTGCGATTCAGACATATGTAATCCTAGTTCACTCACTTTCACTGTATCCAATCAATGAATGGCATGTTTACTTTTTAGTTGCTCATGTATATTTTGTCAAGTCTCCTATTAAGAATACTTCACTGCTCATTCAGTTGTTCATCAAATATTTATTGAGTGCTTACTGTGGGCCAAACGTTGTTCTTGGTGATGCGGATACTACAATGAATAAAATAGACACCATAGACCTTACATTTAGCTTAGAAGAGAAGACAGACATTAAACAAGTAACGCAATGTGTCAGTTAGTGATAGGAACTAAGGAGAAAAACAAATCTAGGCATAGAGAGTAAAGGTGACAGGTAGATGATACTGTTTTATATGGATGGTTAGGAAGACCTTTCTGATAAAGTGACATTTGAACAGGATCGGAAGGAAGGGAGGAAGTAAGCCAGGTGGATGTCTAAGGGAGAAGGGAATGGCAAGGGCAAAATCCAGGAGTGGGGACTGGGGGTGTGCAAGGATCATGGTAGGATCATGGTTGGAACAGAAAGGAGGTCGGTATAGTTGGGTGTAGGGAGAGGGGGTGGGTGCGAGCCAGGTGAGGTGAGGTCTGATCAGTGGTGGAAGAGTACCGATCTTGGAGGGCCTTCTAGGCCACGGTGAGGCCATGGATTTCACTCCCAGTGAGATGGGAAGCCATTGTAGGGTTTTGAGGACCAGAGCAACGTGATCTAGCTTGCTTTTAAAATCTGTTGTGTTGAGAATAGACTTTAGGAGAAGTGGGAAAGGAAAGAGACGAGTAGGAGGCAACTGCAAAAGTTAGGTGAAAAAGATTATGGTTTGGAACAGACTGCTAGTAGGAGGGAGTGAGAGGCATTTGGATTCTGAATACATTTTAAAGGTAGAGCTAAGCATGATTTGCTTACATATTGGACATTGGATATGAGAGAAAGGAGTCAAAAATGACTTCAAGGTTTTGGGGCTGAGCATCCAGAAGAAAGGAGTGGCTGTTTACTGAGATGTAGCAGCCTGGAGATACAGTAAGTTTTGGGGAGAGTCAAGAGATTCATATGGATATGTTATGTTTGGGACTTCCAAGTAAAGGAGACTGGTAAGCAGATGTATACACGAGTCTGGAGTTCAAAGGGGAAGCTCTGGGCTAAAGTTCTAAGTGTGAGTATCAGCAGCAGATAGACAAAAGTTAAAGCCAGGGAAATCAGCAGGCTAGAAAGGAGAAAGATGAGAAATGAGCCTTGAAGTACTCCAATATTTAGGGATAGAGAAGACAACAAGGAACCTGCCAACGAGACTGAGAACAAGCTGGTATTGAGATGGAGGGAAACCAAGACAGTGATGTGTTGGAAGCTGCTAAATCAAATTTCGAAAGATTCCCCTCAATCATACACTCTCCCTGTGGATAAGGATTCTTGCCATGAAGGCTTATGGCTGATTATTTCCAAAAAATTAAGGAACTTAAATATATACCTATATATTAAGAAATAATAATAAAAAAATTAAAATTGCATTACAGTAGTGGGATTATAATACTATAGTATCAATTCTGTTTTAATTGTCTTACATGTTTAATCAGGTTTTCAATAAAAATAAGCTTAATTAAAAATTTTTTGAATTAATGTCCCAATCTGTCATTCTTTTCTATTGTGCATATTAGCCTAGGTTCTCTTAGCATTTTGATATTTTTATGTAAAGTCCAAGTGGTGCATTTTTTGTAATGGAGAGAAGAAATAACTGATTGCTAATGTCTACATCTTTTTTTTAAAAAAAACATATCTTTATTGAGTTCAGAGAGAGGAAAGGAGGGGGAGAGAGAGAGACAGAAACATCAATGATGAGAGAGTCATTGATTGGCTGCCTAGCCCACAACCCGGGCATGTGCCCTGACTGGGAATCGAACCCCGATCGCCTGGACCCTAGGTCAATGCTCAACCACTGAGCCACGCCCGGCTGGGTTAATGTCTACATCTTTTAAACCTCACATAAAAAGATTAACTTTTTATTTAAGCAAGATGCATTATTGTTAGAAAAGTCTTTAATACCCATGGGTTTGGGTGGGGATCCGAGTTATGAAACTCATATTCTCATATTCAGTAAGTAGAAATTTTTTTCTAGGTTAGCTCAAGTGGTTTTTTAGTTACTTGAACTAAACCCTTTTGGTTTCCATTTGGTGTTTTAGAACTCATTTAAAAGATTTTGGTACTTACAGGCCCTGCACCTCTGCTCCTATTTGAAACGCAGTATGAGCATCATAAAAGCCACCAGACATGTATCTTGATGAAGACAAATGCACAAATAAAATGTGTTACCCTTGAGCCAGCATGACAGATTTTTTTTAATTCAAAAAGCTGAGAGGGATCTTAGAATGTATGTAGGCAAATCCTATTGTTTTTTAGGTTAAGAAAATGAAGCCTATCAGGTTATATGATTTGTCCAAAGTGTCTCAACTAGTTAGTGAGAAAATTAGGCTTAGGACCCAGGAATCCTAACTCCAGATCAGGATAAGAGAAGCTAGTCTGATTGTAACTCAATTTAGAGTCTCTGACCATTTTCTGGTTTTATATCAATACTCTGTTAATACTTCCATGATCTCACGGAACTTTAAAATAACCCTACTAAATGGCAGGTGCAAGTTATCATCATTCTCAATTTACATAGGTGATAAAATTGAAGCATTGAGTTTCAGTTACTTCTCCAAGATCACAGAGCTAGTAAATGGAACAGTACTCAGGTCTTCTAAATCCTATTTAATGCGTCCTACAATTAGTCATATCAGGAGAAATATTTAAATGATCTAGCAAAATCATCTCAGGGGAATAAAAGAGCACTTTTGTGTTGCACACCAGTTGGAAGACAAGGGGGACAAGCTGACGCTGGAAAATGGAATGCCCGAAAAAATAGTAACTGACAGTGTTGCCATAGTAGCAAAACTGAGCAATTACAGGCATTGATGCAAATTTCTTTGAACAAAAAGAACCAAATTCTATGAAAGAAGATCATTTTTGGTCAGTTCTTACATAGTTTCAAAACACCAACTGCACAAGTGCAAGAATGAGTAGATTTGAATTAACATCAGTTTTGGGGTGAGATGTGGGAATTTTTGTTCACTGCAAACAGAATCTGATCCAACGTTACGACACGGCTGCCAAAAAAACTAATGCATTCCAAGGCTGCCCTGATAGAGGAGCAAATTTCACTGGTTATACCAAAGTTGGATCATTATGTTCACATCTTGGCACCACATTTTAAGAAGGGTGATAAAAAGCTAAGCTTCACAGGGAAGGATATGACCAGAATGGAAGTCTGGAAGCCATTTCCTCAGACGAGCTTTTGAAGAACTAGGGTATTAATTTGAAAAAAGGGAGAATTAAAGAGTCTTTAAATTTATTCATTCACTCAACAAAAATTTATTGAGTGGCCCCTATATGTCAGAGTAGGTAGGGTTTAGGTGACTACGAAGAGCTTGCCAAGTACCTGGATGCCTGGGGGAGCCACGTGGAGGTTCTTAGGTAGAGGAGGAGTTTTCAAACATATCACATGTTTTCAAGCATCATTCTAGGAGTTAGACTGAGAACAGGCTGTTGGGGGTGTGGGAAGTGTGGAAGCATGGAGACAAATCAAGAGGTTATTGCAATAATTCAGACAAGGGCAGATATTGTTTGGAGTGGGGTGGTAGCAGTGAGGAAAAAAGAAGTGATTGGAATTTGGATATATTTTGAATTTGAGGAATCTTCATACAAGTGATGGGAAGATGCTTTTTAAAAAAATAGATTAAACTCAATTTAAAATATGTGTATATATCTTTATTGATTTCAGAGAAAGGAAGGGAGAGGGAGAGAGAAAGGTAGAAACATCAATGATGAGAGAGTCGTCATTGATCGGCTGCCTCCTGCACGCCTCCGACTTGGGATGGCACCTGCAACCCGGGCATGTGGCCTGACCGGGAATTGAACCACGATCACCTGGATCCTAGGCCGATGCTCAACCACTGAGCCACGCCTGGCCAGGCTAAACTCAATTTAATCTTCAGTGTCTTCAGAGGACAGCACCAGAACCCATGGATGGTGCCGGGTGGGGAAACGGGAGCAGGAGGAGGAATTTGCCAGTTGGTAGATCTTTCCTTTCCTTTCTTTGTTTTTCTTTTTCTTTTTTTTTTAAGAACCCTTGACTAAGATTTCCTCCAGTCTTCTTTCTTCTTCTTCTTTTTTTGGTCTTTACCCGAAGATATGCTCATTGATCTTAGACAGAGGGTAAGATGGGGGGGAGAGAGAAACATCAAAGTGAGAGAAAGAACATCTATTGGCTGCCTTCTGTACATGCCCTGACTGGAAATCGAACCCACAACCTAAGTATGTGCCCTGACTGGGACAATGCTCCAACCAACTGAGCCACACCAGCCAGGGTAGTAGACTTTTCAATGGTAGAGAGAGGAAGTGGGTGGGGCGTAGGAAGAGGTGGAACATGCCTCTCTCCCTCCAATGTCATATCATTTTGGCTCAGTGTCAGAGAAGGAGAAAAAGTTCACAACTGTCAGAAGTATTATAGAATTTCAAAATGTTCATGAAACTAGCAATATAAATTGCAAAGCAGCCCGGCTCAGTAGTTGAGCATCGACCTAGGATCCAAAAAATCACGGTTCGATTCCAGGTCAGGGCACATGCCCGGGTTGTGGGCTCAATCCCCAGTCGGAGGCATGCAGGAGGCAGCCGATCAATAACTCTCATTGATGTTTCTCTCTCTCTCTCCCTCCTCTCTCTGAAATCAATAAAGATATATTTAAAAATAAATTGCAAAGCATAAAACTGCTATTATATTTGTTATACAATAGTGTAAAAACAACACAATTTTTAAAAACTATAAAAGGAGTATAAAGAAAGACCATGACCCACCACTTGCTTGAGGAGTCGCTTAGAATTACTACTTCCAAGGGGCCTGCGTGACCAGCACCACTTCATACCCCCATTCGCCTTATAATCATTTCTTGTACTCTACACCTGTGAAACAAGAAGACTCTAATAAGGAAATGAACAACAAGGCTGAATATGGACAAATAAATATGCCTGTCTCAAAATGGTCTGATGGGAAAGTATTTGAAATGGGACTCAGAGGACATAAAAACCATTCCTATGCTATTTGGGGAAGAATTGGAATGTGGACTGAAAGCAAGACTAGCATAAAAGCAAAGGAGACTCTAGCTATTAAAAGTGTTACAATGATGGGCTGATTTTTGGACACTATGAGTATTCTTAGTAATTGATAGAAATAACTTGGTACTGAATATAATCATGAGTTTATGATTCAGTCAGTAATCATACATTAAGCCTCATCACCTATGCCTGGTTTTACGAGGCCAGGAAAGGAAGGCTGTGCTCTTTCTTTCCAGAGTGGGAAGCAAGCACACAGGTCTTCTCCTCTGAAAAATAGGTAGCAAGAGACCATACGCTTACCCTCAGACAGAAAAAATTATAGAGAGATGATTTGATACTCAACATAAAAAAATAATGTTCTGATTATTAGAGAAATGGAATAGCCAAGTTTGTGAAATAATGAACTCACTGTCACTCTAACTCTTCAAGCAAGAGTTAGATAACCATTAGTCACTGAGGGGGTTTCTAAATTGGATGACAAATGGGCTCAATGACTTGTCTAACTGCTTACAGTTCTTAACATATTTAAAGCCATATATCTGTATTTCACACCTCAGATAATGAGTACCGTATAGCTACTAAATGCTTTATGAAGTAGATCTGCCTTGAAATGATTCTTTTAAATTTTAAACTGCCTTCCTTATTTGCCGGTCCCTGTATTTCTCTAATTGTCATTGCTGAGATGGCTTCACCTTGAGTTAAAGGTATAATCTTGCCCTGTGCTTTGGGACCAAAATTTTCCCCAGACTTAGAGAACAAGAGGAGCCCCAGGAGCCCCAGGATAGAGGTTTACCAACTCAACACACAAGCTGCATTGCAGCACATCCTGACCTGATGTTGGTATTCTGTCCCCTGACAACTAGGGTAGTGTGTTATTTTCTTGTGATGGAGACTTTGTCTGGCACACCTATCTCCCCAATGACTTAATTTCTTGTCCCTGAACTGCCCATTTCTCTCTATTTCTGCTGGTAAGCCTTTGTTGAATGTCTATCTTGGCTGTATCGTGCAGGGTTCAATGCTGGAAACAAATAACACTTGAAGTATTTTAAGCAGGAAGGGGTTTAATGCAGAGATTAGATCATTACAAGATCGCTGGAAGGGCTGGAAGACTGGGTTATAAGCCAAGATCCAGGAATGATTCCCTGAATGCCATGAAAAACCGATCTGCCTTTATGCATGAAATTTGTACACTGAAAACTATAAAATATTGCTGAGAGAACAGAAAGAAGACGTAATTAAATGGAGAGTTGTATCAGATTCACACATTGGAAGATACTATTAAGATGTACAGCCTGGCCAGGTGTGGCTCAGAGGTTGAGCATCAACCTAGGATCCAGCAGATTGTGGTTTGATTCCTAGTCAGGGCACATGCCCAGGTTGCGGGCTGGATCCCCAGTCAGGGGCGTGCAGGAGGCAACTGATCAATGACTCTCTCATCACTGATATTTCTATCTCTCTCTCCCTCTCCCTTCCTCTGTCTGAAATCAATAAAGGCATATTTTACATATATATAAAAAAAGATGTACATGCTCCTCAAATTGACTTTTAAATTCAATGCAAGCTCAATCCAAATCTCAGCAAGTTTTTAAAAAGACATTAATAATTTTATTTTAAAATTTATATGGAAATGCAAAGGGCCCAGCATAGTCAAATCAATGTTAAAAGAAACACCACGTTTTATATAGATAAAAAAAAGAACCACCACAAAGTTGGAAGTCTTACATTACTTGACTTAAAGACTCTTTGGGGTTCCTGAACCCAATTCCAAAGTGGGGGGGGGGCAGGGAGGGCTCCCAAACAAACCAAGCAATTCTCTGGCATCAGCAGGGTGTCTGAAAATTCAGCTCAATTCTGACACTATCTACCTGGAGACAGCATCAGATTCCACAGGTAAATGACTCAGTCCCACAAGGTTGACACCCTCCTCCCCCTCATACTTCTGACCCACTAGCTGTAGATCAAAGATTCCTTGGGTTTGATTCATTTTCTAGGACAGTTCACAGAACTCAGAAATACATTTTACGTACTAGATCACCAGTTTATTTTAACAGGAATATAACTCAGGGACAGCTAGATGGAAGAGATGCATAGAGCAATTTCCATGCCCTCTCCAGGGGAGCGATTCTCCCAGGACCTCCACGTGTTAACCAACCAGGAACCTCTCCCAATCCCATCCTTTTGGGCTTTTATGGAGGCTCCATTACATAGGCATGATTAATTAAATCATTGTCAATTTATTCAGCCTCCAGGCCCTCTCAGCACTAGGGAGGAACTGACAGTTTCATCCCTCTATTCACTTCAGTGCTCGGTTCCTCTAGTGACCAGCCCCCACCCTTGGGTGACCTAGGGGCATTCCGAAGTCATCTGATAAACATAACAAAAGACACCTTTATCATTCCCATCACTTTAGAAATTCCAGGTGTTTTAGGAGCTTTGTGACAGAAATGGGGATAAAGAACAAAGATAAATTTCCTGTTTCTTACTTAAGTCATAATACCATAAAGACATATTCTAAAGTTACAGTAATCAATATAGCATGGTATCAGTATAAGAATAAAGGTATAGATCAATAGGACAGAAAAGAGGTTCCCGAAACAGACCCACATGTATATGGTCAATTGATTCTCCACAGAGGTGTTGAGGTAATTCCACAGAGAAAAGAATCATCTTTTCTCTTTTTAACCCTCCCTAGAGGATATGTTCTTATTGATTTTGGAGAGAGGGGGAGGGAAAGGGAGAGAGAGAAAGAGAGAAACATCAATGTGAGAGAGAAATATCAATTAGTTGCCTCCCTCGTGCACCCTGACTGGGAATTGAACCCACAACCTGGGTATGTGCCCTGACTGGGAATCAAACCCGAGACCTTTCAGTGTACAGGACCATGCTCCAACCAACTGAGCCATACCGGCCAGGGCAGGGCAGTCTTTTCAACAAAAGTTGATGTCAATGTTAGAAGCATTCAAACCTGTTTTTATAAGTTTTTATGAGTTTATTTGAGCCAAAACTGTCTAAAATTCCCGGTAAGCAAAATCTCAATGGGTTGAGATAAAGCTCCAGAGAATGGCAGTTTTGTACATTACAATCAAAAGAGGAAATGTATGTGGGTTACATGAAATCCATTGGAGGTAGATTAGGGAGGCGGGAGAAAGCAAAGAGGGGGAACGTCTGAGATTGGATAAAAAGTAAAGTGAGACATATACTTCTTTTACATAAGTGGCTGTAGGATAGTTAACAGTCAACAATTAACTCAACAACAATGAAGGGATTTGTGGTCCCCAAAGAGCTGTGCCTGTACTTTGATGGGTCTGGAAAAAGGAAAATTACTTTGATATTCCAACGACAAGTTATCATAGATGCAAAAAGACAATAGACAGGCTCAGTTAAGGTAAAGATTGACCTGTGTCAGGGAAGATACCGGCCTAGGACATGACTACTCACTATAAACTGCTTTTAGTTAAAAAGTTTTAATTTCAGACCATTCTTTGTGGTTACTTTAGGTCTCTGAGTTTGCAAGGCCACCATGCAGGCCTCCCCTGAGCTAGTCAGGTTAGCATGTGGCCCCTTTCTGTCCAGTGACAAGTATGATATCCGTAAGGAGAAAGTGAATTTTAATCCTTCGTATTATATACAAAAATGAACTTGACTGAATTACAAACACATACATAAAGCTAAAATAGAATACTTTTAGAAGAAAACATAGGAAAATCTTCATGACTTTGACATATACAAAGACTTCTTAGAATACTGCAGAGTAAGATTCAAAGGGCTTTGGAGTCAAGTAGACTCTAGCTCTGCCACTAATGATACTTAAACCTATAATCTACTCATTTTACTACTCTTAATCCAAGTTTCCTTTTCAGCAGGACTTTTTATAAAAATTAAATGAAATATTATATATATTTAGCACACTGCTCACTGCATAGTTAGTATAGACTCACAGAGTAATAGCTATCAATATAAACGAAGTTCGCGGTCATATTCATAGACTTTTGTAAGATTTGCCTAGATTCTAGCCCAATTCTGCAACTTTAAAGTATCCCAGTGAGTAACAGCAAGGTAAAAAATTGAAGCTAAGGGTTGCATTTTCTTAAGCTGAAGTTCCTGAAGTTCTGGTTATTCTTTTAAAAAGTGATAAATTAGATGTTATTAAAACTAAAAACTTCTGCTCTTTGAGAACAACATTAATAAAATAAAAAGGCATGAAAAATGGGCCAAATATTTGAAGACACTTGTCAAAAGAAGATATACAAATGGCCAATAAACGTATCACAGTGTGCTCAGCATCACTAGTTATTAGAGAAATTCAAATTAAAACAATGAAATACCACTACACGCCCACTACAATGGCTAAAATTCAAAAGGGTGACCATACCAAGTGTTGGCAAGGATGTGAAGCAGCCATTACTTTCACACATTGCTGGTGGGAATGTGAAATGGCAGTGGGGGTCCAGCATGAGCCACCCAAGATGCGCCTCAGTGGTATGTAAATTACTTTGAGATAGAGGCAATTTTAGCTTCAGGCCCAAGAGAAGCTTCTGCCACCACCCCCCACCTGCCCTTCCTTAACTACCTAGAAGAATTTAAAGGCCTTGATTGTAAAAAGAGAGTATCAGAGATAAGTTCTTTTGACCTATCTATAGGGCAGGGAAAACTTCTATCTACTAAATGTCTGTCCTTCTTAGCATCCTGCAATGACTCTTTGAAGTTCCCAAGGTGCATAACCTCATCCCTAGCTCAGGATGTCTTACATACCCATGTTCCCTTTCTGTCTCTGAAACTCTCATGTATGTAGGGTCTCTGACTCTCTCGTGTATGTGGGGTTCCTGTGCAAATAATATTAAATTTTA